TACAAATATGTCATGAATATTGCACCATACCTATGTAAAGTGAGGTTGACAACGTAGCAACTGTAACATCAACAAAAGGATGATTGCTTTCAGTTCCTTTCATTGTCCTTCTGTTTTCCTTTCATGTTCCCAGACTATGGTTCCAAATGTTTTTCTATTTCCTTGTATCTATGCTCCTTTCATGTACCTTTCACTTTCTTCATGTTCATTTCATGTGCCTTTGATTTTTATGTCCTGTCACTTTAGAAAAAAATCAACACGTTTCCGTCAACCATATCTTCAAGGAATGTTAAGGAATTTTAAAGGAATTTGAAAGGAATTATAAGGAAATTCAAGGAATTTGGGGAGTTTTAAGGACTTTGAAGGAATCTTAGAGGACATTGAAGGAATTTTAAAGGAATTTGACGGAATTTGAAGGAATTTGAAAGATTTTCAAGGATTTCGAATGATTCTAAAGGATGTTAAAGGAATTTTAAGGAATCTTAAAGGAATTTCAAGGAAGTTTAAGGAATTTTAAGGAATCTTAAAGGAATTTTAAGGAATCTTAAAGGAAATTTAAGGAATCTTAAAGGAAATTTAAGGAATCTTAAAGGAATTTTAAGGAATCTTAAAGGAATTTCACGGAAGTTTAAGGAATTTTAAAGAATCTTAAAGGAATCTGACGGAATTTGAAAGATTTTTACGGATTTTAATGATTTTGAATGATTTTCAAGGAATTTTCATGAGTTTTTTGGAATTTTAAGGAATTTTAAGGATGTTTAAGGAATTTTAAGGAATTGCCACGAAAGAATGCCACCGTATTTTGTTGCTACAGAATGCTATAAACAGAAGAACGCCATTAAATATTTGAGCACCTTCACTCTAAAATACCTCTATCTAAAAAGAATTTCCTGACCCCTTTTTAAAGAGGCATTTCTGAAGGTCTTCGAATTTGGATGAACTTGGATGCCAATTCGGCGTGAATTTGCTGGAACTGCATTTTATAGCAGAACCAATTCTCATTGTTTTTGTGCATCTTAAAGCATGAGGCCCTATGCACAAAAGCTAGACCGCTTTAAAACTGCTGCACATTATCAGATAATGAATTGGCACCCCGATGCATAAACGAGCAAGGAAGATCATGAAAAGAACCAAGGACCATGAACATAATTTGAAACAAATATGCACGGAAATTCGATATGATTTTGAAAAATGACAGGACATACAAGAAAAATGGAATGACTTGAAGGAAAAAGGGAAGGAAACTGAAGTGACAAGAGAGTAAAATGAAAGGGACATGAAAGGAAGATGAGAAGGAAAATGAGACGAACGGAAAGGGAAACCAGAGGAACATCAGAAGGACATGAAAGAAATTGAAAGAACAAAAGGAAAGGAGGGAAATTAAATAAGGTGAACGTAAAACAAAGATATGATTGACGGAAATAGAAGGAACATGGAAGGAAGTGAAAGGAAACTGACAGGAAACTGACAGGAGAATGAAAGGCATGAAAGGAATGTGAACACGAAAGAAAATGCTTTTGTATGAGTGTATGTTTGTTTTTTTCAATATTCAAATTCACACATATAAATTGTGACCACCATGGTGACCAAGGTCATGCATTCCGAATATTCTATCTGTGAGGATTTGGACATGGCATGCAGGGACAATGAAAGGATATGGACAGATAATGGAAGGACATGGAAGTAACGCGCATGAAAGGAAAGTGGAAGGAAATGAAATAAACACAAATAAAGTATATAACGTAAAATGAAAGGAAGATAGCAGAACATCGGAAGAAATAAAGAATTGAAAAGACACATAAACATCCCCGTGGCAATTTCCACACTAGAAATGGATGACTTGTGCATAGTCTAAGCGAGATCCGTAATGTATTGGAATTTCAAAATTGGAGTCAGGTTAGTCATTTTATTGTTAAGATTGTTAAGGGGTTGGTCTGAGCATTTTATTGGCCAGGGAAATCCTGATGATTTTTGACATGTTAAAATTCCATTCTAATTTTATTGCAACAAATTGAGTGTTTGGAGCATTTTATTGCAGAATGGAACCAGTGCTTTTCGAGGATCTCTTTATATCAATTTTATTGGGCATGTCATTTGAGATCCGCGAATTTTAAGGAATTTGAAGGAATCCTAAGGAATTTTAAGGAATGTTAAGAAATTTTAAAGGAATTTGAAAGGAATTATAAGGAAATTCCAGGAATTTAGGGAGATTTAAGGACTTTGAAGGAATCTTAGAGGAAGTTGAGGGAATTTTAAAGGAATTTGACCGAATTTGAATGAATTTGAAGGAAATTGAAAGATTTTCAAGGATTTCGAATGATTCTAAAGGATGTTAAAGGAATTTTAAGGAATCTGTTGGAATTTGAAGGAATTTTAGGGAATTTTAAGGGATCTTAAAGGAATTTTAAGGAATCTTAAGGAATTTTAAGGAATCTTAAAGGAATTTCAAGGAAGTTTAAAGAATTTTCAAGAATCTTAGAGGAATTCCACGGAAGTTTAA